ACACACACACAACCCAATTTTTTAAACATTGGAAAGGTCTATAGTATCACAAAATTCAGCGTGTTTTTCTTTGTGTGTGTGTATGTGTTCTTTTTGATTGCTTTCGTTTTGAGTGGGATGAGCGAGCGCCGAGGACAGGAGCTCGGAAGAAAGAAAAAAAAAAATAAAGAAAAGAAAAAGAAAAAGGAGAAGCCGCGCGCGTGTTGTTGTTGTTGGAACGTGGAGCTGGGCTTCCGTGTGGTTGTTGGTGGAACGCGGAGCTAGGCTTCGGCGGTATGGCTGGTCCAACGCCGAACAAGGCTGCGGCGGTAAGGTTGGTCGAATCCCGAGCAAGGCTTCGTCATGATGGTTGGTGGGCCCCGAGCAAGAGTTCGACGATGTGCGTGTGCTTGTGAGTGATATCTGTTCGGCACTACAAGAACTCAAGCCACCACGACTTCTCGGCCCCGGCTGGCGGCGCAAGGGACCGGACCACCACCGAGTCGACATCTTGGGACCCCTGATTGGACTCTTCTTCTCCTCCGAAGTGCATGGCGTCTTTGATTCGGCTCATGTTCTTTTTTTATACGCTTTGGAATCATTTGTGTGTGTGTGTGTGTGTGTGTGTGTGTGTGTGTGTGTGTGTGTGTGTGTGTGTGTGTGTGTGTGTGTGTGTGTGTGTGTGTGTGTGTGTGTGTGTGTGTGTGTGTGTGTGTGTGTGTGTGTGTGTGTGTGTGTGTGTGTGTGTGTGTGTGTGTGTGTGTGTGTGTGTGTGTGTGTGTGTGTGTGTGTGTGTGTGTGTGTGTGTGTGTGTGTGTGTGTGTGTGTGTGTGTGTGTGTGTGTGTGTTTTGTTGTTGCGGTTACGAAGAGCGGAACGCTCGCAAGATATGTCTTTTTCTTTATTTCTAGCTTTCTTTTTTTCCCGACTGCGTGTGCGTCTATGCACCTTTTCTTTACTTTTGAACTCCGTTGCTATTAAATAGTGTTTCGTAACACCAGGCACGACTCACTCGCAATTCCTACCGCCTCTCAGGAAGTCCATCGCCAAGATGTGGCCCTATCACCTGGACAGCGGTCCAATTCAAAACACAAATCTGTTTGTTTATGGAATCTTTTCCACCCAAACCTGTGACACCTGGGTTCAGAGAAGAGAAGGGCTGACGAATCGAGAACGCATCATTAAATGTCGGTTGCTGCACTTCGTCTCAGCTTAGCATTACCTATATATAGTTAGCCTCGCATGCTAAAAGCGCGAGCTAGTTGCTTTGGATGAAGCCCCGGCGGCTGCACGAGCGCTCGTGCCACGAGTGCTCCGGTCAAAACAGTCAAGGCTACCCGCTCGCGCTTGCACAGCCTTCGCAGTTAGTCTATGCTAAGGTTAGACGAAGTATTGGCAAGGTGCGCGAACAGAAGCGTCGCTGTGGTCGGCCTTCCACGATTGGCCCAAAAGCTGACTATGACGTCGGAAAGGGTATACCATCGACGGAAACAAGAGGAATGAAAGAACTTTAATTTTGACGGTGTTGGCAGTGTTGCTTTGAGAGCGCAATGATTTCAGGCGTCCACCATGCTATTTACAAACACCATCGAACTTGTTGTTCACAAGGTAATGACGTCATAAGGGGGAAACATAGGAGGGCGCCACCAAAACATCTCGCCGCTAATAGTTGAAATGACTCTACTGTCTGTCTTCGCCTCTACATGTTGTATTTTTTGTGTTATCCAAAATCACCTTTATCAGGCCGCTCTATTTTCATTTTTATACATTTACTATGGTAAAAAGCACAGTGCTTATAAACACGTCTGTTTACGTGAACTGATTTGTGCCATCGAAGGGCGTTCATTTATTTTGCTGCGCATTTTTCTTTTGTAAAGACGTAACCACCTATTGCTAATCTGGTCGCTAATATACGGTTTCAGCTGTTCAGCTAATATAATCCCACGGCTTCAATCCATCGTGTGCGCACCCGTCAGCAACCCAAATTCCCTTTAGCATTTTTTTTTAACGTTATCAAGAGATATTGGGATAGCTTATTCGCAGTTTTGAGACTTACAGGAAAAAATAAATGGAAGTATTAGCTGGAGGTTTATCGCTACGTGGGTGGTTGTAAAAATGCAGGGCATGTCGACAGGCTGCGGCTTCAGTTCATGTTTATACCGTCGCAAACATAGTGGTTATCAATCTCCCAACTACTGCTAGTTGAAAGCGTAACTCGAAAGAAAAAAAAAATGCTTTAGGTGCACACAAACTTCATAAAAGGGCTTGTTGCAATCTACATACCGTAGAAAAGTCAACTTCTGACGAGACATTATTAAAAAAGTTTAATTCTTATTTTTTTTTTTCATAAAATAAGGCGCACGTGTGCTGTGCTGTAAAATACAGTCTTCGCTGTGGCATTAAGCATGGCATTTCGGCATGCCAATTAAGTGCGACATCCGAGACCGTATTTTTAGATATTAACGTACTTTCAGCTTCGTCTTTCACGAAGCTCCTACCGACGTGTACAGTTGTACGCTCTCCCAAGTTTTTTTTTTTTTTTTTTTTTTGGGGGGGGGGGGGGGGGTGAAATGGACATTAGCGAGTGTATACATTAAGCAAGCGTTCCAAAATCCGCCTCTGGAGCATAGGGCCATCAAACGGCAAAGAAAAGAATGCACAGGAAACGCAGCGCGATGACGAGATAGCCGAGCGCGCGCTGTTATTGGCTGAGGTCTAAAAAGGGGGGGGGGGGGGGGGGGGGGACAAAAGCACGTGGGAGCATCTTTATAGTAATCAGCAACTACACTCTACAAAAAGTCTGTGCGTCTACTTTCCCGCACAACAGTCGGAGAACCAATCAGCGCAACTTACGGAGGCAGCTCAGCGAATGACGATGCGGAAATATCTGTTTAGACCAAAAAACGCAGACTGAGTTGTGACAGTAAGCAAGGCAAGCGTGACGTTTTGCATTGCTTAATGTCACAATTCAGACTGCGTTTTTTGGTCTAAACATATGTTTCGGCATCGTCATTCGCTGAGCTGCCTCCGTAAGTTGCGCTGATTGGCTCTCCGAGTGTTTTGCGTGAAAGTAGACTCACAGACTTTTTCTTAGAGTGATAGGTAGAGGTGCTTAGGCGCGATAAACTGGCAGCAGCTGAAAGTGATCCCAACCCGGCCGCCGCCATGTGGAACATTTTTGACTACTAGACGTGTGACCCTATCGCTTTACGTCTAAATTTTAACAAAGTACCGCGCACAGATAGTTGCTTATTGATTTTTAATAACAGTACCGACGAGATAAGTTATGTTTCGTTTGTTTAAGTCCAAAATGGTGCTTTTACGACAAAAACTCGGGCAGCTTCGTAATGTCTCCGTTAGGTGCCGTCAGCCGCGGTGCTCTATTTTGGGTTTTTATCGGAGCTACACACTTACCTCCGAGGCTAACAGTATTTAGAAATAGATCGTCATGTTTTTGACAGCGATCCTTACAAAACTCGGCTCAGTTTTGCGTAAAAATCTCAAGATTTGGTACGGTCACGTGTCTGTTGTCAAAATTATACATGCCGCCAAGTTGGGGGGGGGGGGGGGGGGGTCACATTTGTCTGATGAACCTAGTAACGTTGTGGTGAACGGGATACCTGTTTATCGCTCTAAGCCCCTATACAACTTTGCAAGTGGGATCCCGGCTTAACCTCGAACCGCGCGCCAAGGTGAGGCGGACCTACTCTCCAGCCAGGACGTTCGCTGGTTGTCGTACATTGTTGCCAAGCGTCTCTCGCCGAAGCATACACCACTGAGCGCAGAGAGAAATTAAAAAACTAACTATAAAACGTACACGGGTCGTCTTCGACCGCGAAAGAGCACGGATAATTAAATAAAATGCCTAAACCGGTAACAAATCGAAAAATTTCAAAAATATCTAAAGTCTCAAGGCGCTCTTCAGGATGCGCCACAAGTCGCATGGCCTTTGCATCAACGATGGCTGCGCTCGCGGCAGCTCTGGCTTCTACAACATGCAGGAACAGAGGCTGCGATCGTTATAGAGTCAGCTCCAACCCTTTAAGATGTCCCGTCCTACAATATGTGATGCTGCGATTCTGTGTAGATACCTCCTCCTGCGTTCCGAGACAGTAAGTGTGCCGCTAACGTTAGCCATCGGCGATGCAGCAAACGGCACCATCTTGTCATCGCGCACCCCACTGACGTGCCCCTAGCGCACCCCAGCATGGCGGAAACGGTACGGGGCGCCAGCTTCGCTCAAAATGGCAGCGCACAGGAGCCGTTCTTGCAAACGTGTATAGGAAGTATTCACTGGCGGCCACAGCTGTGTGCGCGACTGCTGAGCGCGTGCTGACGGCGAGCTTCCACAGTTCTTTTGCAACGTGCATTCCGCACCCTCAAGATTGCCGGTCTAAGCAGCCTATTAATGTGGGCTCGTTCTGAGCACGCGCTCTAGACAGCACCCACAAATATGGCACCCAGTGAATACTCCTTATACCTCGTTGGTAAGCAGACGCACGAGACGCGCAAGGATAGGATAAACTTGTACGCCGTGTATAGTAAGCTGCGCAGCATCTGCTTTTGCCACATCCATTCGCGGGAAACAAGAAAGCGGGAATTTGTTTTTATGCCCGAGTCACACAGAGCGACCAGTAGAAACAACCGACGTCGACAAGCCTCAAGAACGTGCAGCATGCAGCCGATGGTATTCTCGCCGTTTCTCGGTGCCCTTGAAGTAAGCAGGAGCGATTTTGCAAGCCTGCCAAAGATACCGTCGCGTGCACGGTGCGCGGGGCTTGCCGGTGTCCGTTGTTTTTGCTTTGTCGCTCTAGTGGGACTCGGACGTTACCGGGCGATGACCCGGTAACACACGCTACGCCGACCAAGCCCGTGATTAAAAATGGGCGACACTGCGGGTGTCCCCTTGGGCGCCCTGATTCAGTGCGAGCCTGTCGCGCGGCGACGCCGATTGTTGTGGGCCGATGTTCCAACCCGGTTTGCGCGCGGTGTCCGGTGGCGGGGTCGTCGACCGAGACTGACCTGAAGTGGCCACGATGGCCAGCGCCCGTCCCATGAAATCGAAGAAGCCGGACGCCTCCTCGTTGGCCTCCCGGATTTGGTAGCTGATGGACCCGTACGACGTGTAGCGCTTCTCTTCCTCGGCCTTCACGTACAGTCGCCTCCGGTCGTCCAGGGAGATCTGGAGGAAACAGGGGACGTGTAGTTGGAAACTGCGTGTCTTCTAAAGGCGAGGTTACTGATACATCACGCAAAAATCTCTGTGCACACATCGTCTGAAGTATGTCTACATATAATTCTGAGAAGAGCGACTGCTACTTAAATAATCTAGCTCATTCGTTACACGCCAGAGGTGGTTAATTACAAAGCACCTAATAAATTTGAACGACATTACTGTCAAATTACTTTTTGTATATCCTGGTTTCAAAAGCATTAATCAATACTTTCTTGCTAGATATAAATGACTTCATTTATTTGCCTATCTGGGTTGCAATAAAAAAGCTCTCACGAGTAATGTATTCCAAAGTTACTGTCCTCAGTAGCTGAGAAGACAGCGACAAAGTTAAACGCAAACGTGTTAACCATGCATTTAGATTTCCAGCGAAGGTGGGAGCACATGTGCAAAAAACCATGTGGAAATCACACAAAGTTTTGAACAATTAAAAACAAAATAGTTTTACATCACTCGTTTAAAATTAAAAAAAAGTAATGAGCCATTCCGCTTTGTGAAGGTGGATGACCAGCGACGCTGTTTAACACACGACACACACCCGCCCCGAGGAGCCGGCGGAAAGCAGACAAGCGCGACGGGACCGCCAGCCCGGGGTAGCGGAGGGAAAGGAAACTGGGCACACAAGCGCTTGGAACGACGACAAAGAAAGGGCGGTGCGAGCGTAGACATGGCCAACGCGTGTCGCACAGCGGCAAATGCTTGAGAAACCTTTATTATCTACCTGAGAGTCTACTGATCTTAAAAATTGTACCTACTGATACCTAATCTACTGAAGAGACCTATCGCTAAATTACCCAAACATCAAGGTGAAAGCAGGGAATGGTGTTCCACGCGCCGCACGTGCCGGCGCCTGCAACAGTAACTGTCCTAAAGCAAAAGCCTAAAACAAATGACATCTTGCACGCCCGTTCGTCAACGTTTTATTTTGGTTATTTCCTTCAAATTTTTTATACGGGGAAGTCGTGCGCGTGCGGCAGTGCGAGCGTAGAGTTTTTGTTGACGCACACGCAAAGTTCACGAAACTTAGCCATAGACAGCTTCGCTGTAAAATAAAAAAAACCCAATGGCTTGTGTTTATCACACAGAAATCTTAAATATGCTTTTACCTAAACCATATATCTTCCGTTTATTCCAGAGAATAGCCTGGTTTTTCGAAGGTAGCACGAATTAATTTGCGCATGTCTCGGATTTTGTGCAATGTTAGGTTTAAGTTTGTTTTTTCGCTCATGTGTTCTCGTCGTTAAGCATGGTACTAGTCGTTCCGAAAAAAGAAAATCGTAAATGATTTTCAGGGAGCCGTTTTTGGACACCGAATTGCTATGTCGGTGAGCCTTCCCGCGCATGTTACCGAAAATAGAACTGCGTGCAATTGCGCTGCTTAAGGTCCGCTGAAACTTAATTAATTTACGAAAGAGCCTGCATGTGTGGCGAAAACTTCCATGTTTGCTGTAATCAACTCTTACGGCGGGTCATGCCCTCGCCGTTTAATTAATTTGCTATTTGTTTACGCGACAGCGGACTAATTTAATTAATGGCTGGAATTCCTCGAAGATGGAGTGAGTAGACAGGCGAGCTGCTTTATGTTATACATTCGTGAAAAAACGAGACGACGGACCAAAAGGGGGAAAAGCACAAAACATAAAACGTGTTTGTTGAGACGTCTTGTGTTTATCTCCTTTTTCGTCCGTCGCCTCTGGTTTTTAAAAAAATGTGTAGAGCCATTATTTAGAGTAAGGAACTCTATGCTAAAATTGCGATACATTGTACTTCAGACAGAGGTTATATTTTCTTTTCGTTTATTATAAGACAGAAAGGGTCGCTGCTACTTACATGCACGAGGAAGCAATATAATTGTAATCGCCCTAAAAGAAACGCCCAGAGTAAAGAAAGTTCATGAATTAATCGGCTTTCGTATTTAATTGGAAGATACACGGAGAACGGGTTTGCACAATCAATTGAAATTGCGAGGTCAAACGTTAGGGCGCGCAAACTGTAGCTGCTGTTAAATTTTTTTTATAATAAAAATTTTTTTTAATTGTTTATTTTTTTTTGGCTTTAAAATGTTTTTTTTTTAAATTACAACCTTTTAAAGAGCCAGATAAGGAATTGCAAGTCGCAGAGGCTGTCTAGGATTTTATAGCAGGATTACCTTCAGTTAGCTGAGCAAGCGGATAATGCCTACACTTGCTATCACATCAAAAAAGAAAAACAAATTCTTTTCCTATGTATTTTTGCATGTCCCCAAGTAGGTATCATTCTTGCCAGATTTTGTTGTTGAAGGAAGAAACTATGTTTTTGGCGTTTGAAACGTGTAATTCTCCATAAAATGGCATAAACGTAATCTAGTGTGAACCTGTATATATGTCTTAATACATAACTAGAAATATTAGTCACGTTTCGAGAGGATATGGACTTTTATCTTACTGCGGTTTTTTGTGTGAACACCAGAATAGAATCAACGCTATGTTTACTGATGGCTTCGACTCGCGCGTTTTTGCGGTTTCTTTGTTGGGGAACATGGTAAGCAGCTTGTCCTCAAAAACATTTTTTTTTTTGTTGTTTTACCGTTAAGTGAACAACGTTTCGCCGAACGCTTGTTCTCCACCCAAATGTTTCGCTAGCGGCCCGATCCACATACCAAAGTTTCAGAAGTAACCGTTGTCTTATTAAACAAACTAAATGTATTATTATTATTTTTTAAAAATTTGAAATGGGTGCCCGTTCATGGCCTCTTTTCTCTAATCTGGCGCCATTCAACTGTATGTATTCGAGAGTTCCATCGGCCGCCATTTTCCCATAAAAAATGTAAGAAACAGACTCATAAATTTTAAATGAGATGACGTTTTGTTTTGCCGCCATAATAAAGAGCCCCGCTGGGGCTCTTTATTATGGCGGCAAACAAAGGTAAGGCGGTGAGTCGATTATGTCTGCAATTATTTTTTTTTTATTTGGTTCACCGGACGTCTAGATGGAGCCGACACTACTAGCTGATGGGATCAATGAAACAGCGTTAAAATCGTAACAGCATGATGTACGTCATGTTTCCACACGTGCCCCATGATCTCCCAACCAATCATGTAGGAGGAAGGCCCAGTCACTTGCACTTTTGAGAATGTTTGCTCGTGGCGTCGTTTGCGTGCGGACTACTTTTTAAAGTGAAATGAAGTACACGTGAGCCATCTGGTTTTCCTTTTTACCGCCACGACAATGGCATAGCCAATAATAAGTGACGGCTTAAGAAATACGGGGCCAGTGGCTTATCGTCTTAACGCGTCTTGCTACGTCATTCGTTCTTGAGTGTTCCACGAACGATGACGTCGTGGGCAGGCCTTTGTCCTATAGACCAACTCAACTCTATGACGTCATGCCTGTGCGCTGGCAGTGCTGTCGGCCCTACGCATGCGCAGGCGCGTCCTCTCACGCGACTGTGGATCCTACGCACGCGAAGTGCGGACACACACGGGCTGGTTTGTAAACGGTGTGTTGGTGTGCATTTATATATCCCCGTTTCACCTTACGATGGAGTGCAGTGGACGCTACGGGCCATCCCAGCCAATCCAGCTCTGTGAATGTGTCACGTGACTAAGAGCCCCTTGCGTTGTTGCACGCATGTTGAAGCTCACCTAGAGACTCCCGCGGTAGTGTATTGGCAGCGATGGCTCATGATGACGTTCCAGTAAATTCTATAGTAAAATGTAAAACAAAACATACCTAAAAAACAAACATAAAAAACCGAGATTACAAAAAAAAAAAAGAAACTAGAATAAAAGGAATTAAAACTTGGGAGTACCGATGTTTATTATCCGTCTCTTTTACCTTTTGTTTGTTCCCGACTTTTAACTTTGACTTTTTTTTTTTTACAACATTAGGTGGTTGTTTAGCAACTGAAGTGCCTTCTTTTTGTGGAAAAAAAGAAAGGCTCCGTGCAACTTTACCGCTTTTTCCCTAGGGGTGCTTCTCAGTGGCACCTGGAAAAGACGATTGCGTTGCTGAAGGCCCCATTTTTCCTGAGACTGGTTTCGCATGACCAAGTAAAGCTGGGACTCAACGTTACCATATTTTTAGTGCATTGCTTTTTGCTGGGCATTCGCACTTGTGAATGTGCTAAGAGTGCATGTCTTTTCTGGAATAAAAATAAATAAACAAAGAGAAACATCGCGAGTTTAGGAAGAGTGGAAGGAAGGTGGATAAAATTGAAGTTGTTTACAAACTGCATTCGCCGTCTGAGTGATAATTCCACTTTTTGTTTTCCTGTTTTACGAGGGCTGTTTTTGTTCTTGTTAAAAGTCCGATAAAGTGAGTTAACAAAAAAAAAACGTAGTGAGAAATCTTCTAGCACGCATAGAATGTACAGGTTTTCCCGCTCATTTTAATCCTAACGATGGTCCATTTCATCCGAGTGCGATTCAATTTAATTCAAGCGCCCAACATTTTAATTCCATCGCTTCCCGATTTATTTTTGGGGTCAGTCAATTTGATCCACAATATACACATGCACGTATTTGTTTTCAGTGGTCATGTTTTGCTTACACTTTTGATACCTTAGAGTACTTGTTTATGCAGTTAGATTTTGTTGGTGGCAACTGATATTTTGATCAATGTTTCAATCACTTGGAGTTACTAATTGCACGATTGACGAGGGTCAATTGACATGTCAATTGCTCTTTTGGTAATCTCCAGTTATTCGTGGCGCATTCCACTTTATTTTAGCTGAATTGGCGTTTAGTTTATTCTTTCTTATTAATTCGACTTCTTATTGATACAGTTCAGATAAAGCAAGTACAACTGCAATTTGTAATTACTCTTTCATTACTTCGCGCTATTGCTGACAGAGCTAACTTTATCTAAAGCTTAGTTGCACGGCTTCACACAATTTACACAGTAAAAGTACTACAAACATTTTTGATTACTCTCTCGATAACTTCGATAAATTCCTGACAAAAATATAA